GTCCGGGGGTCTCTCCCTGTCCCCGGCTTGCAGGACCTTCCGCTACCACCATCACCTGGGAACCCCGACCAGTTCAAGCCTCATGGAGTGGGTGAGACCTCCCCCCCCCTTCTCTCTCTCTCTGTTTTCCTTTCTACCTTAGGTACTAACCTTAAATAATGTATGGTTATGTTGGTTTAGTCCTCCTGGTGTAGTTATTACTATTATTCAATAAATAACTTTTATGGTTAACTTGGTTACTTCTCTCTCTCTTGCTAAACTTTACTCGTTTGTGTTTTTAGTTTCCCCCATTCACTCTACAGCAACGCTTCTTTTACCTAAGCTAAAGATCCCTGCAGCGCCCAAAATACTGTGGGGTTTGCTCATCGAGTAGGTTACTGCCAGTACAATTGTGTTGGGGGAGTGGGGATAGGGACGTGCTGAATTTGGGACGCATAAGGGTAACAGCTTGACAGTGCTGATTGACCCGGTCCGCTCAGACTTGATCTGTTAATGTACGTGTGGGTGGGTGGGTATTTATCCAGTTCTGGGGCAGGAGTAACCCAGCCCTAGGGACCCTAGATTCTGCAGGATAGCTCCATTGGGAGGGGACTTGCAGCAGGGAGAAGTAGAGCTCCATATGAAAACACAAGTGACATAAGCAGTACATTGACGGGATTACAGAACCCCTTCCCCAGAGGAGTAACCCGAATAAATGAGCATACCCCAAAGTAATGGGCACATCTGGTAACAGAAGGTCGGCTCTATTTTTGAACTGCATCCTGGAGGGAAGTTTTAAGGCTTGTTGTGACAATTAAGCTTCTCGCTGAACGTGGTTTAGCATTTAGAGGAAAGAGGGACATTATCGGCTCTCCTGAAAATGGAAATTATCGAGGTATTCTTGAAGCTTTCGCCCAAATATGATCCGTGTCTACGTGAGTGAGTGAAACGCTATGGAAACATCCCACTTGTTGAAAACAATCTGTGATGAGTTCATTGAGCCAATGGGATGTAAGGTTTTGAATTCATTGTAAGTGAAGTCAAAGAAGCCAAATACTACTCTTTGATCACAGGTTCAACTCCTGCTATCACTCACATTGAACAGTTATCTGTCATTTTCCGATACAGCTTACACGGTGCCAGATATGAACGTCTTGTTGGGTTTATACCCATCAAAAGCCACACGGCAAAGTCGCTTTTCCAGCCCGTGGAGTCTTTATTGGACACAAACAACACTGCTATTGAAAACTACAGAGATCAATCCAATGATAATGCAAGTTACATTATGGAAAGTATGAAGGTCTTCAAGCTCAGATCAGAGGACTAAATCCACTAGTTGGGTACGTGCCACACACAGCTCATTCTCTGAACGTAGTTGGAACGTGTAGCATTGATGCTTGCATGGAAGCCATAAACTTTCTCTGTTTTGTTCAGAAACTAAATGTTGGTTTTTTTGCAGCATCGCCCAGGCGATGGCAGCCTCTGTGCAAGAAGCTTACCAAGAGTGACCAAGTAACTCTCCTTGTCCTGAAAACCCTGCCAGATACGAACTGGTCCCGTCAGACTGAATCTTGTAAAGCGTGAGGACATTCAATGTTGTTTCAAAGAACAATGGACAACACTGAGGAAAACAGTGGAACTCAAAGGGAAGCGCAACCATCTGCACCTTATGAGTACCCTATGGAATGGGATATTAGAAAGGTTGGACAAAACAAGCCTAAGGATTCAAAAGCCAGGCCTGGGTCTTGTCATTGCTGTTCATTTGCTGCCTTCCTTGCAAGAATTCGCCACCAGCTTCCAATCTCAGTTTGACTATTTTGCGATGCAAGCGAAAAGAATTGGGAAGTGAAGGTGATGAGTCCTTCATGAAAACCACAAACGCACTGTAAACGCAAGTACTTCCAGATGGCAAAAGTGAGGACGGAGGAAATCGGAAGCTGAGTGCTTTTCTCCTCTCCTCCACAAGCTAAGCTGGGAACTGAAAAGAAGAAGTGAATGTTATGCTGAACTGTCATGCATGCCAGCACTGCTCGACGCTTACCCAAATGATCTAGAACAGGGGTTGGAACCTTTCAGAAGTGGTGTGCCGAGTCTTCATTTATTCACTCTAATTTAAGGTTTCGCGTGCCAGTCATACATTTTAACGTTTTTAGAAAGTCTGTTTCTATAAGTCTATAATTTAGAACTAAACTATTGTTGTATGTAAAGTAAATAAGGTTTTTAAAATGTTTAAGAAGCTTCATTTAAAATGCAGAGCCCCCCGGACCGGTGGCCAGGACCCGGGCAGTGTGAGTGCCACTGAAAATCAGTTTGCCTGCCGCCTTCGGCACACGTGCCATCGGTTGCTTACCCCGATCTAGAACCTCAGCTTGTCCATGAAATGGAGCAGTTTTCAGCGTTTGTAAGATACTGTGATGTGTAGGATGAGTATGGTCCTGAAATCATCACATTTTTGCACGACCAAGGCCTGAGTAACGTCTTCCCGATGGTTTGCATCATGTTGAGGCTGTATTGGGCTGTGCCCATTGCCAGCTGCGGAGCAGAGCGAGTGTTCTCGAGCTCGCCTTAATAGAAAATCGTCTTCCGCCAACGACGGCAGAAGCAAAGCCCAGAGCTCTCGCTGTGGTGCCAGCGGAAGGGGATGTATTTCGCATGCTGCCGTTTGAGGGTACAATCACTGAATTTTGCGGCACTTAAAGCTCGCAAGATGCCAGTTGAAACGTTCGGCCTTTCATTTGACTCGCATTGTTCTATGTTTATCCAGGTGAAACGTACCCTGCTCCGCATCTTGGCTTTTCTTTCTGTGTCGCGACTGGGTGGGCTTTTCTCCGGGGCCGTCTCAGTGTCCCCTCCTTTTCCAAAGTTCTCTCCCCACTTGGGAACCGTATTCCAGCTTTCCTGGGTTCTCTGCTGTGGGGGTCTCCCACTTCAGGGGACGTTCAGTCTCTGAAGCTCCTTATAAAGGTCTGATTAATAGACCCTGGGTGTCCTGTGGTGATGAGCTTACCCTGGATTTCCTACGTCCATGTGGGCAGCAGAAGCTTGTCAGCTGTTCCCTCTCTCCGCTCTGTAGCAAGAGAAAGCTACCTTTCCTCTTTGCTGCCGCCCCGTCTGTGCCCAGCTCCCCTTCTAACCTTGCTGCCTCGGGCCCTGCAGCTGGGGGGGGGGGGCGATCCAATAGCACCTGAGGCCAGAGGAGCTCCTGAACCTTGCCCAGATCGGGGTGGGGGCATGTCCCATCCAGCCCTTATTCAGTCCTGTACAGGACTTGTTGATTGCCTCCAAAAACCGTTAGCCG